TATTGCCAAATTTGTTGCATGATCGATGTAACTTAGGCAAGTAGAGTAACATATGCATGTTTGTAACCTGAAAATTTTGTTGCATGTCGCCACTAAAGATGGTGAGTAAATAGAAGCAGTTTAAAAACAGCTCATTTATGTGTGACTCGAGAAATCAGAGAAAGATGCACCTTTGCACAGCGAATATCTTGTCCCATGTCAAAACTAATAGGATGGCTAGACTTGTGGATGAGGTGAAAAGGACTTGTTTTAGTAAATAAGTTAATAAGTTGGGCAAGAAAAGGATGCATGTGCATACTGACAATTGTGTCACACGTTTCAAGACATAAAAAGCACTTGTTCCATGCGTGACTTGAATTGTAGCGAAAGAAATAATTATTAAGAAGATAAACAAACAAGTGAGCATTCTAATGATGTGACTTACAACATGAAGTTGGTCATAGCAGTTGAGGTCTCATGTTTTGAAGTCTCATCCTTATTCTCCAAAAATAAAAAGTAAAAAAAAAAAAAAAAAAAAAAAAATAAAAAAAAAAAAAAAAAAAAAATAAAACATACACACGAAGTTGCTCATGATGATACCTTGGTTGAACTTGACTTGCTTTAAACGAATTCATGTTTCTTCTTACCTAAATTTGAGTCATTAGCACAAAAATCCAAAAACTAGCAGTCTGTAATTATGATTGTGATAGCTACAAATGGTAGTTACCCTTGCATTGACATCAAGGCCAAACTGCTTGTGAAAAAAGATTTGTGCATCTCACAATGAAAATAGGCACTAGAACTATCATAAGAGGCACAAATGAGATTGAGTTGGTTGTGAGTTAGGTAAAAGAAGAAGAAAAGTTAGCTTGACAATATAAAAAAGAGACAATTGCTTTCATGCGTGTTAAAGTAAGAGAGAGAGAATCTTGGGTAAATTTCCCTTGAGTTGAATATTGAGTGTGCACATATATTTATACAAGTAGAGGAGTGTGAGGTTTGTTCTCCCAAGCAATGTGGGACTAAAACCCACTACAATACACTATTATCAACAGCCCCCTTCAAACTCATGTTGAATCAAACAAAGTGAGTTTGCGTACAAGAAACTGGAACCGATGAACAGGTAAGATCTTTGTGAAGAAATCTGCAAGCTCGTCAGCGGATGAAACATGAGGAAGTAGAATTATCCTGTCCTTGATTACTTGGTGACGGACAAAATGAGCGTCGATCTCAATATGTTTGGTCCTTTCATGAAATACTGGATTATTAGCAATCTAAATGTCACTCTTATTATCACAGTAGAGAGGAGTAGGAGTCGTAACAGAAATGCCAAAATCACTGAGAAGGCGACGAAGATGAATAATCTCTTTAGCTGTTGTGGACATTGCACGATACTCTGCCTCAGTACTTGAAAGAACAATAACATCTTGTTCTTACTTCGTCAGGAAATAAGGGAATCACCAAGAAATATACAATAACCTGTGGTAGACTTTCTGGTAGTTGGATCACCAGCCCAATCAACATCAGAATATGTACAAAGCTCTAACTAAGTTGTAGCAGGAAACAAAAGAGAGCGAGTGCTAGTACCCCGAAGGTACCGAAGAATCCGTAATAAGATAGCATAGTGTACAGAACGTGGGGCACTAACAAATTAACTGACAATACCAACAACATGAGAGATATCTGATCGATAGATGCACAAATAGACCAACTGGCCAATAAGATGTTGATATCGGGTAGGATAAGATAGAGGCTCACCGTCAGTAGAACAAAGTTTGACATTCTGCTGGAGTGGAATATCGACAGTTGCATTATCAGTTAGCTCAGCTTGATTTAGAATATCTGAGAGATACTTCTGTTGAGACAGTAATACACCCCGCGGGCCTTAAGAAATTTCTAGACCAAGAAAATACCGAAGAGATCCAAGATCCTTCATGTGGAACTGTTGTTGCAACTGAGATTTTGCATATTGTATATCTGCAATATCATTACCTGTAATGATCATATCATCTACATAGATGAGTAATAAAACTCTGCCACGCGATGTAGTACGAACAAACAGAGAAGCATCTTGATGACTTTCTATAAAGCCCGCTTTGAGCACGACATCATGAAAACACTCAAACTAAGCGCGGGGTGCCTGCTTGAGACCATAAACAGCACGGCGAAGGAGACATACATATCCCGGAGAAATATTTGATCCCGGAGACGGTTGCATATATACGGTCTCTGATAAAGAACCATGAAGAAAAGTATTTTTGATATCCATCTGGTATAAAGGCCAACGATGAGCAGCAGCGACCGTAAGGAGAGACGAACAGTGGGCATCTGAGCAACAGGAGTAAAGATCTCCTCATAATCAATACATTGTTGCTGAGTAAAACCTCGAGCCGCTAAACAAGCTTTTCGATATTCAATGGTGTCATCAGGATGAAACTTGACCTTATAAACTCATTTACTGCCAACAAGAGAGATCCCAGGAGGACAGGGTGTTGAAGAATGATTCAAAGTTAACTTAGTCTTTAGTTGTTATTTTGTTAGTGGAGTAGTGGCTAATAAATCTGAAATTAGTTTAGATTTTTATGATGATTAAGTTGTTTTGTAAGCCTATATAAAGGCACTTTTAGTTGATGAATAATATAGCAAAAATTATCTCCTCATCTACTCTCTAATTTCCAACATGGTATCAGAGACAAATTGCAGCAAAATTGCGACGACGACGACGATTATGAGGAAATTGAGTTCAGTCCGATAATGAAGTTTGAGGAGGTGATGAAAGAGGCGGAGGCTCGAGGGGGGACGCTGCCTAATGATATGTTGGAGGCAGCCAAATCCGTGGGAATTCGGAGGTTGCTTCTTCTTAGATATCTAGATTTGCAGGGGTCAGTTTGGCCTCTTGGGATGTTGATGAAGTCGTGTTCCATGCTGCGGGATCGAATGTTGGCGGATCCCTCATTTCTTTTTAAAGTTGGCACTGAGATAGTTATAGACTCTTGCTGTGCAACATTTGCTGAGGTCCAAAAGAGGGGGATGGATTTCTGGGCAGAGTCTGAGCTGTATGCAGGTGATCTTTTGGTGGGAATTGTTGTGGACATTGCATTGGTTGGTATGTTGGCACCTTATGCACGTATAGGAAAGCCTTCTGTGAAGTCAGGTTTCTTTGCTAACATGACATAAGCAGTTGAAGAAGAAATTTTATTCTAGGAATCATGGTGAGAAGTGCGCCATGGAGAGATTGAGACAAATGCTCTATCAATATTTGTGGAGAGATGTGCTCCTTTAAGAAATGTTGGTGATTATATACGTCAACAAGATTGAGATGAGAAGTGCATCACAAAGTGAAGAGAAGTGCTTTACAAGATTATGGAGAGAAGTGCTCTATGAAGATTTAAAAGGAATGACAAGAAACTTTGAATCAAGGGGGAGTGTTGAAGAATGATTCAAAGTTGACTTAGTCTTTAGTTGTTATTTTGTTAGTGGAGTAGTGGCTAATAAATTTGAAATTAGTTTAGATTTTTATGGTGATTAAGTTATTTTGTAAGCCTATCTAAAGGCACTTTTAGTTGATGAATAATATAGCAAAAATTATCTCCTCATCTACTCTCTAATTTCCAACACAAGGAACAAAATCCCAGGTATGAGTTTGCTGAAAGGCTTGAAATTCCTCAGCCATAGCCTGTCGCCAGTCTGGAATTTGAACTGCCTCTTGAAAGGACTTTGGTTCAACAATAGTATGAATGGCAGCAAGAAAGTTATGAAAGATAGGTGAATAAGAAGTAACAGAAGCATACCGGGCAGGCATGACATGTGGGTGTTTGCCTCGACGAAGAGCAAGAGGAACCTCAGGCGGGGAAGATGCTGGCGCAGGTGCGTGGAGATCAACAGTATTTTTTGGAGTGATAGTTGTGTCCACGGGATATGGATTAGATGGTGTAAGAGAGGACTCGCGTGAGGAAGAGTCAACAAAAGGAGAGGGAGAGATGTCAGGGAGATCTCGAAAGAAAAATTGAGGTGAAGAAGTGGGTGATGCAATTGACGGGGAAGCATGATTAGTAGAGTGGAGGAAATTAAAGTCATCAGAAACATAATAATATGGAGAATCCTCTTCGAACTGAACATGACGAGATATATGAACTCGACGAGTTGTGGGATCATAACAACGATAACCTCGATATTCTGAACTAATTCCTAAATAAACACAAGAAACAACTCTGGGAGATAATTTATCACGTTCGTGAGATGGCAGAAGAACAAAACATCGACAACCAAAAACGCGAACTAGATCATAACGGGGAGGATGAGTATAAACACGACTATAAGGAGTAGCACCGGAAAGAGAGCTAGATGGAGTGATATTAATGGTATGAGTCGCGGTGAGAATAGCCTTAGCCCAGAAACGACGAGGAACAGAGTAAGAAATGAGCATTGATCGAGCAGTATCGAGGATATGACGATGTTTGCGTTCAGCAACACCATTTTGTTCATGAGTGTAGGGACATGACTGTTGAAAGATAGTCCCATGAGAGGACATGATAGAGCGCATGGTAGAGGATAGGGACTCTTTGGCACAATCAGAACGAAAAACTTTAATACGAGATTGCCATTGAGTGAAAATCATAACAGTGAAGACTTGATAAGCAGTAAGTACGTCAGAGCGATTCTTAAGTAGGTAAACCCATGTAAAACGAGAGAAATCGTCGATAAAACTAACATAATATAAGTAGCTAGATGAAGAAGGCAAAGGAGCTGGCCCCCAAATATCAGAATGTACTAAATCAAATAAGGAAGTAGATACGGATGTATTCATTTTAAATGGTAAAGCAGTGAATTTAGCTAATTTGCAATAAGTACATGACTCAATACTAGAACTAGATGATACAGGACCAAGTACTCCAGACTGAATAAGACTCTTTAGCCTTTTATTAGACACATGACCAAGTCGTCTATGCCATAAATTGGCAGGAAGCGAGGTTGAGGGTTTTGACGAACGAAGAGAACCAACAAGAGAACGTGGACGTATGGACTCTGGAAGGTGAAGATATTCCAGAAAATACAGTTTGTGCCTCCTATGACCTACCCCAACCGTCTTGCCCATCTGTGGATCCTGCACAATACAAGTATCAGAAGAAAATAAGACAAACAGGCCCGTCATTCATAAAAAGCTAATAGAAATTAAATTCAAGCGCAACTGTGGAGCCACATAGACGGGACTAAGTGTTAGATGACCAGATGGATCATTTTGTGGGGTAATAGAGTCATACTGAGTAATGGACAATGGTTATCCAGCAGCTGTGTAGATAGGAGGAAGAGAAGATGAAGTAAAGACAGAGGATAAAAGTGAGGCATTACAAGTCATATGAAAGGAACAATCAGAGTCAAAAATTCAGAGATCATTCATACCAGAGACCGAATGATTAGCTGAAGAACCAGCAAAATGCATACCAGAGAATTGTGCGACGGATGTAGATGTGATATGTTGAAAAGCATCAAGTTGACGGCGAAGACTTTCAATAGCTTGAATAGTAGAGTCTGAAGTAGTAGAAGGTATAGTATTGACCAACAATCCTAATGTACGAGAGGGTTGAGACTGAGGGGGTCGCCGACCACGACTAGTACCTGAGGAACGTAACTCAGGATGAAGCTTGAAGCATGTCTCAATGTGGTGTCCTTCCTTCTTACAATATTTGCAAGAGAGCTTAGATCGAGCCTGTGGAGAAGGAGCCTGTGGAGAAGTGTGATTCATAATAGGAACAGTGACAGGTACAGATAAAACAACCTCGAGTGAAGAGGTAGGAGTGTCTGTTGACAAATTGAGTCGTGTTGTCTGCTGCCGGGTCTCATAAGCAGTGAGAGCTCCCATAACTGAGGCCAAAGTCGGAAATTGAGGTTGATGAAGTAGTTGATTAGCCATAGTTGAATATTCAGGAAGGGACTGAAACAGTTGATGCACCTCATGCCGTTCGTACCAGGCTAGCCAGTCTTCATATGTGGAATTACGTCCAGGAAGCATGGAGCGTAACTCTGTCCAAAAAGCTTGCATTTGTCCAAAATAGGACTGCAGAGATGAACTACCTTTGCGTTGTAGAGCAATGCATTGCAGAAGATATGCCTCCCGTGCACCCGAGAACTCAGTGAAACGCTCAGTGAGATGAGTCCACATGGCCCGAGCAAAGGGAAGCGAGCCAATCTCGACAGTGAGACCAGAGCCAACACAGCGAGTAAGATAATCCATGACACGAAATTCCTGCAATTGCCACTCTGAACTCTCCTTGACATAAAGAGCACGAGCAGTCTGAAGATCGATATCACCACTGCCAGAGGCAATAGTACTGGATGAAGCAACAGTGCTGATGGACGGTGAAACTGGTCCCGTACTAGTGAGATGATCAAGCAAACCAGCGCCACGCAAGGCATTGGTGACAATGATGGACCACCCTGCCCAGTCACTTTAATCATTAAGGGGCAAAGGTGGTTTGGGAATCTTCTCTGAAGGAGCCATAACAGCAATGTTGAGACGTTAAGACGTCGAAATGTCGTTACTGACTGCGAAACAACAATGCCGTTTGTTTGAGGCCGAGAGAGGGCTTGAAACGACGATGTCGTTAATTTGAGACCGAGAGACGGTCTTGAAACTGCAATGCCGTTAAAATAGAACCTGAATGTTAGAATGAAACTCGAAGGTTTAAAATAGAACCCGAAGGTTAGAATGAAACCCGAAGGTTAAACGAAAACGCGAAACGTGTTAAAAGGCCGCAAAGCTACAAAGCCAAAATATATGGCAGATGAACGCCAAAAAAAAACATTAAACGGCTGTAAAGCAACAAGGCCAAGATTTGGCAAAAGAACGTATAAGCGTTAAAAATTTTATTGGAAGGGAAATAGCCCTAGCTCTGATACCATGTTAAAGTAAGAGAGAAAATCTTAGGTAAATTTTCCTTGAGTTGAATATTGAGTGTGCACATATATTTATACAAGTAGAGGAGTGTGAGGTTTGTTGAATATTGAGTGTGCACATATATTTATACAAGTAGAGGAGTGTGAGGTTTGTTCTCCCAAACAATGTGGGACTAAAACCCAAGAGGAGTGTGAGGTTTGTTCTCCCAAACAATGTGGGACTAAAACCCACTACAATACACTATTATCAACAATGCGAGATGGAAAAGTTAATTACAAGTGATGCTACAAAGGTTTGAGAACACATTTTGGACACTTAAATTGTCGCAATTTTTGTAGATCTCCACTAAATTCGAAAGAGTTGGTTTCAAGTCTTGCTTTTGGTGACAAATGTGTGAATGAAAATGTTATGTATACTTATCACGTGTTTGTGACTATGTACAAAGCAAAGAGTGTGTGCTTGTATGTATAACTTATGAGTATATGCACCTGAACTTGGGTGAATTAAATCCTATATGTGTAAGTGAAGACAGGGATTTCAGTAACCTCTCACAATTTTCCACATGTTTCAGTTTTCTTTCGACCAAACTAAGCGAAACAAAACACTTCCAGGCTGATACAACACCACACAATTTTTGGACTGATACAAGAGAACACAGGGTGATGCTAGAACAATATAGACTGATAATGCGTGAACTGTCTTCATTTTTGTGAAGTCTAACACCAATTGTCATTCTATGGTGAAACTGGCTGAAACCTTGTATATACTTCTTTGGGAAGATATATTACCATACTGTTGGTTTTGGGTGCGTAGACCGAAACCTGGGAACAAAATCAACAAGTAGCAGAAAACCCCCCGATCAGTCGATTGAAGGGCTTGGATCAGTCGATCGATTTCGACTGTAGGAAACAAACCTGAAAATCGCTCTAGTAAGTCGACTAATGGGGTGCCATCAGTCGACCAACAACTTGCACGAAGCAGCTGAGAAGCCCTTATCAATAGACCGATGCAAGTGCATCAGTCGACCGATATCGGGTCAAGCAGTTTCCTGACCCGTTGGAAATCTGTTTCGAGTTAGGGTTTTATATATTCTTGAACTTTCTTTTGAGAGATAATACATGAAAAAGAGAGGGTTTTGAGAGCACTTTGAGAGAGATCTCAGAGAGAGAGAGAGAGTAGTCTTTTGCAAGCTTGTAATATTCTTCAATAATCAAAAAATTTCTGATGTGGCTCCCTAGGACGTAGGCACGATTACCGAACCTCGTTAAATCTTGTGTTTTCTCCTTTTATTTGTTCTTTCCTACAAAGTTTTCGTTTTACTGTGATTTCTTGCTTGCTAATTGTTCGTCACAAGATCCGGAGGGCACGGGTTGTCGATAGATTAGCCCCAACAACTGGTATCAGAGCTTCGTTCAGTAAAGATCTGTGTGAGAGCCATGGCAAAAGAAAGCAAATAGAAGATTGAGAAGTTTGACGGATCATATTTCATCTACTGGAAGTTGCAGATGGAAGACTATCTGTACCAGAAGGATCTTTACCGTCCGTTGATGGAAAAAACAAAGGAAAAGAAGGAGGAGACAAACAAGGACTGAAAAATACTGGATCGGAAGGCTCTAGGACAGATCCGGTTGTCGCTTGCAAAATCAGTCACTCATAACATATTGAAGGAGAAGACGATGGTTGGGCTTATGGAAGCGCTCACAAAGATGTACGAACACCCGTCAGCTGCATAGAAACATATCGCAGTGATCTGTCAGAAAGGAAAGCTCTATCAAACCCTCAAGATGGCAGAAGGATACTCATTCACGCTGCATTTCAGCGAGTTCAACACGATTATTGAACAACTCATCTCAGTCGACATCATGTTTGATGATGAAGTACAAGCCCTACTGATACTAACGCAGTTGCTCGTAGTTGTCGGATAGTTAGACTGGTTGCGTGACTGCAATTAGCAATTCAGTAGGAAAGGAGAAGTTGAAGCTAAGCAAGATTGTTAGTATGATTATATCCGAGGAGGTTAGAAGAAAGTCGGCCAAATCAAAAGGTTCAGGTTCAACCTTAAATTTCGAGCAGAGAGACCGAAGTTAGAATAAGGATAACCAGAACAGGAAGCGGTTGAAGTCGAAGAACATGTCGAACTCGAAAGTGAGGCCTATCAAAGAGAAATGTTGGAACTGCGGTCAGGAGGGCCACATGTCTTTAGTTTGCAAAGCTCCAAAGAAGGAAACAAATGAGCAGAAGACTCATATTGTGCAAGATGCATTGATCCCTGCTATGGATAGTGACACTGATTTATAGGTTATTGATTCGGGAGCCTCATTCCACGTCACTGCTAATAGGAAGCTTTTTCAGAACTATGTAGCAGGAGATTTTGGGAAAGTGTACTTGGGGGATAACGAGCATTGTAGTATTGTGAGAAGAGGCGATGTGCAGATTCAGATGAAGGGTTCTAAGTGGTCTCTGAAGAATGTCAGACACGTACCGAAGCTGAAGAGGAATCTTGTTTCACTTGACCAGCTTGGAACGAAAGGCTATGTTTCAACATTTACCAGGGATTCGTGGAAGTTCTCCAAAGGTACAATGATAGTTGCTTGCGGTAACAAAACCAGAACTCTATTTAATTTCACATGCGAGTGACACCCTCGCAATTGCAGCTGACAAGGAAAGTACAGATCAGTGACACAATAAGTTGGGACATATGAGTCAGAAAGATATGAAGATTTTATACTTACAAGGAAAGCTACCCGACATCGATTCAGTGAAAATTGGTGTTTTTGAAGATTGCATCTACGGGAAGCAAAGAGAGTCAATTTTCAGAAAAGTGGAAGACCACCTAAAGCTCACAAGCTAGAGCTTGTTCATACAAATGTATGAAGTCCAGCTAGCGTGCTTCCCTTGGCAGTTCAGCACATTTATCGACGATCATTCAAGGAAGGTGTGGGTATACTTCATGAAGCACAAGTCAGAAATGTTTGGAATCTTCAAGAAGTGGAAAGTCACGATAGAGGAGACAGATCTAAAGGTGAAGTGTCTGAGATCGGACAATGGTGGAGAGTATGAGCTGGAGGAGTTCAAGAAGTTTTGTAGTCTGAATGGGATTCATTTAGAAAGGACTACTCTAGGAACACTGTATCAGAATGGCGTTGCAGAGAGGATGAATAGAACGCTGACAGAACGTACGAGGAGCATGCTTCTACATGCAGGTCTAC